CCACTTCAGCACCAATCTGAACCGTGCCTGTCTGAGACTATCAATCCTATGCGTACTAGTACACCTCCCAAGCTTGAACGCATACAATCTGAAGAAAACATGTCACCTGAGCCTGAGAAAGAACAAGCGTCAGATCAAACAGAAAACTCACAGGAGAGAGAGGACAGTTATGTTGAGGACCTGCAATTGGAGGACGCTGCTCCTTCGTCTGTGCCAAGTGACCTCAGTGGTGAGGAGCGTCAGCGGCCAAGACGTCAACACAGACAGCCCAAGATCTTCACATAGACTGGCTTGGCTCACCGGCCTGTTACAACCTTAGAACACTACAACGGCAAGACTGTATGGTGCCATGGACATACACTGTGCAACCATACCACTTCCGGCAATTCCGACATTAGAGAGGTGGAAGACAGAAACATTGCACGCCACTGATTTGAGTTAGTACATATACATTAAACTCAAAATGCACCGTTGAACACAGAATTCACATTTAAATGGACTGTTGCACATGAGATGGACTGTGGATACACTCAACATATACATTTATGACATTGTTGCAGTCAGTCACATCACATTCATGGACCTTTATTAAAGGCGAGTGCAATTAACTTGAACATACTATACGAACTGTTAACAAGGCAGCAATGAACTCTGCGTAACTAAGTGGACACTGTAGGTCAGAACAAGTACCGAAACAGAGAACAAGGACACTGATGGACACTGGGTGCAGCTGAACTGTTAGTCTAAAATAGTTGTGCATTGTGTATCTATTAATGTTGTATGGTTTACCCCCTTGTTTGCACTAAAGGTCAAAGGTTAGGATGTTGGGGACAACATCTATTTTGAGGGGGAGTATGTGACAAGTTGTATATGACAATTTATTTCTACATACAATCTATGTTGAGTTAAACATAATTCATTTGAAAAGCTAATTTCAGTTTGATATCATCACAGTTTCTATAATATCTATTTTTAGAATATGTAATTTCCTTTATAGTAGTTGTAAAGTAGTTGTATGGTAGTTGTAAAGGTAATTACCGTGTGCAAAGCATTGTAAACTTATGAACACGTGTTGATAGCATTTTTCCTTATGGTATGCTGGCTTTAAATGAATGGAAAAGACGTTTTTGTTGGATTTATTTGTTGTTTAGTTTCTTGCTAACTCAGACGTGTAAGCTAG